GCCTTACCATCGTGAAAAATCCAAAAAGTTTTAGTCAAAATCTTTTAGGATTTGACCCAAAATGACTAATGAATTTTAATAAATGTTGTGTAAATGACTTAATTTTATGAGAAAATATTTTTAAAAAATTTGTAAAAATGTTTTGAAAAACAAATTTCATAATTGTATGTTCTGCATGTTTCTCCAACTTATAGCATTTTGAGAATTATTTTAGAAAAAAATTGTTTTGGAAATTTTTCATCAAAATCCTAACTTTGCCCGTCATGTTGGTCAGACAATGAAAACTTGGTTTCTTAATGAATTACAGCATTTAGAGATAGATTTAGATATACTTTTTTTTTTTTTTTCGTTAATTTTATGTTTGTTAGACATAATTTGAAAACGTTTTGTAGGGTTTGTAAATGGTCTTAATATAGTTATCTTTCTTTTTCAACTGATTTTACCTTAGTTTATTTCATTTTCAGCCTTTGATAATTTTTTTTTACTATTTTAGTAAACGTTAGTTTGAGATAAATCTGTAACAAAAACATTTAGGAAACACGCTGTTCAAAGTTTAAAACATCTTGGTGTTAACAGCTCCTGTTCTTGTTCTTTTACTGCCTCCCTGTGGAGTTTATACGTTACTACAGTTTAGTCATTCTCCTTTTTGTGCGATCTAAATCCGACGCACTAACATCAAAGCAACTGACTGGTTTAGTTCCTTCAGAGGCTGAACACCTGAAAGGGGGGTGTCATTGGAGAACACAAAGGTGATGATCACCCCCAATTCCAAAGAGAGGAATGTTGTGGTCACAAGAGTTGAAGTGTGAATGGGGGTGTGGGGTTGTTACCTGTGGAGCTAACACGATTGGAATTAACAGTAGTCATCATCCTCTGTTTTCTCCGACCTTCCTTTTCAGGTGTTCCGCCGCTCCATCAGAAGTGACGAAGCCTCGTGGATGGACAGGTGAACCGTCTCCAAGAAACTACACCGGTCCGGTCGCCCTCGAAGTAAGTGTTTCAGACAACTGTAAAGACTGACGAGACTTTAAGGAAGACAGAGATGAGACAGAGTTTAAAAAACAGCTTGATTTATTTAAGGAGAGTAGAAGGGACGACAGTATAAGTTAGACTGTACATTGACATTTATCTGAAAATAGCAAAACTGAGGAGTGAGTTACTGACTGCGTGATGTAAGGTGAACATATATATAGATTTATATATGTATACATACATTTATATAAAAAAAATTAAACAGTATTAATCCTGTGTTAACTGGACTGGACAGTAGAGACAGAGTTTGGCAAAATGAGGCACTAAACACCTGAACATTTGGCAGAAAAACAACAAAACCTCTTGAGTCTGAGGAGGATTATTATTTAGACCAGAGGCCTCCAACTACCAGGACTTGGACCAGTTTCAGGCTCCAGCAGCTTTGGTACCAGAGCCTGGAGAAAAAAAAATATTATTTGTATTTATTTGATTATAAGTGCGAAAAGTTTTGTTTAAAAAAAGACCAGATTCTGTCTGGTTTACAAAGACCTGTAGACGCGCGTGACGTCTTTCAGAATAAAAGTCTTTGTAGAACTTCTTTTGGAAGAGAAGAAAGGTCAAAGTTACACTTACAGTCATGTTGTCTTAAATGAAACTGATCTGTGGTTCAACATACGGTTGGAGGCCTCTGGATTCCTGCT